GTGGAACCGCGCTCTAAGTGTCGATTCGCACGGACTTATTTCGTTGCCTTCTCTCGCTTCTCTCTCCGCGATTAAAATAAAACGCGTGTCCTGTGTCTACATCTCGCACGATCTACGATCCGTGTGATCGAGCGCTTCGCTTGACACGATTTCCGCTGGTCCTCCGTTTCCGCAAAATACTGTTTCTCACAACGCCGATCGACGCTGTCGTCGCGGCGAATCCACGCAGATCTTCCGTGATACGATAAGAATTTTTTGAGCCGTTTTTTACACACACACACACACACAGATACACACTACTTCCATCTTTTATGTCGAGCCGTGCGCGTTTTGATCGTGTTAAACGCGACTCCTCGATACGTTCCCCTTTGGACTGTTTTTTCCTACATTTTATTATTCGGGATATTTTTCGATTTCGACGCATTTACATTGTTTCTCGCTTGGATGTAGGTGTATCTTACCGCGATCTTAGGGGCAACAAAATGTCGCGACACGCTGATCATTTGGCCCGCGACAAGTGTTAGTTGGTCGTCGTTCATCCTGGCAAATTGACGAGGAGTCCGTTTAGAATCTCGAGTTGCTTCCATTTTAGGGTTTCGGTACTGTTCTTCGAGAAGGTAGGGAAATCCTGGTGACGAGGGAGATGAAATTTTACGAATGAAATACCACACTCGATGTGTACGATTCGAGCTTTCTGTCACGAGGATATTTCTTTCGCGCGGCGTGTCGTAGCGATGCTTTTTATCAGCCGCGTATCATCCAGGAACAAGCGTCAAGGGTACCGAAACAGAATCTATGTCGACGGTTTTTTCCAACCGAAACTTATAAACTTGGGTGTATTTTTTAGGATGAAGCGTTAGTGACATTGTTACTCCCTGTGTATGGATACCGTAAGCACCGTAAAACAAGGAAAAAAAAAAATAAACCATTAAGAAACTCACTTATACCCATAACGACGATATATATGAGTTTTAACGATATTCTATAAATGGCTGTACCGTATTGTAAAATCAAAGATATAGTGTACAATAAAGTTTAGTGTTGTAGAAACGATACCATGCTGTTTCTTCGATCTCTTTACACTCTTCCCTTTCAAATTTTCTTGGTATAATGAAACAAATAGAAAAGATCAACGATCCTATTTCCATTTTCACGAACAATCTGATTTTTATTAATCACTACGAATACAACGAAAAAAGAAAAGAGAAACTGATCTGTTACTACGAATGCGGCAAACAAGTGTCTCTTTTTAATCGATTTCTTAGCACGTACAGGAAGGCTTCCTGGCGTACGCCACGAGAATGTGATATCTGTCCAAGATACTGTACTCTTGCTGACCGTTGTCGTTCCTGTTCGTGAACAAGATCTTCCGGCTGGCTATCTCGCGCACCACCACATCCTCGAACTCCTCTTTGAGGTGATCAGGGATCCGCGAGATGAAGGGATTAACCGCGATCATGTGACCTGCAACAATGATCGATCCACTTTTACAACGAGTAACCTCGTTCTTCTGTCGCGTTATACTCCCGTTGCTTCATTTATTCTCTCATTCCTCGTTCTCTCTTTTTTTTGTCCTTTCATCCTCGCTAATTGCAAAACGTGCACGCGTGACTATACAGTAGAATTGGTCGACAAAATACAGCGCTGGTCTGTACTTTTCAATATCTCCATGTTCTGGTACACGAAGCTCTTCTCCCTTCTGCTGCAATGGAGAACCTCGAAGCCGATACCGTCCAGCATATTCCTCAAGGCTGCTCGCGAATCTTTGCTTCGATGAAAGAAAGGTACGTATCTGTCTGCGTCCTGAAAAGAGGGGTTGCCTGGTGAGTATTTTCCTGTCGATTTTTCGTCGATCAAGATGCGTATGTATCGTAGACGTCCACCTCCATGTACGGTTTGTACTGAGGATTCTCGTGAATCTTCATGTAAGCGTCGAATCCGTCGTTCCAGGCTAGGAACATGACCAAGGCCTTTCCACCTGGTCGCAGGAGTTTGTAGATGTTCTCGAAGGCTTGCCTAAATTCGACAGTACTCTCGTAAGGAACAACCAGGAATGATAATTAAGCAGCAGAAATAATGAAGAAGTACCAGGTGTTCTGGCACCAGTGGAGACAGTAGAATGACAGCGCGTTGCTATACTGGCCGATTTGTTCGTTAGGCAAAGCCGCGGTCTCGATATCCAGCTCGAAGAACGATAACCGTTTCTCGTCGACGTACTTTTGCTTCGCGTGATCGATCATTGGTTTCGATATGTCTGTCCCTGCAAATATTCACGAGTACACCTGAGAATTACCGAAGACGGCCTCTTTGTCGTTCCCTTACCGACTAGCTCAGCTTCCGGTGATAATTTCGGTAGGATCAATCTCTTGGTGACGTCTCCAGGTCCACAACCGATGTCCATACACTTGCCCTCCATTTCGGATAGCTCTTTCTCGAATTCTTCGATCACATCGAGCGCATCGCGATATTGGATCTTACTTGCGTTCACGTATTCCTTGACCATGTACATTTTTACTTTTTAGAAATTTTTTTTACTCGGTAGACGATTTAACAGAACAGTGTATGTAAACAGCGTGACAATTTGCAATAGCTGGAGAGCCTCTCAAACGAAGGAACTGTTACTGAGATTCGCGAAACTTGGAGAGATTTGTGAGACACTTGGGATGGATCCGGCAGGAGGAAAAAAAAAGCGAAGGCGGCACCTTAGTCAAAGAGTAAACCGGCTGAATACACCGTCAGATCTTCTACTGGTGACTTTTCGACCTGACTTTGGTATTTATATTCGATGACTCGTACAAACAAAAAAAACCTCTCTTGTTCAACCTACACCACCCCACCTCCTTTTTCTTCTTCCTCCGTGTCTCTCCCGCCAGCCTGTACCTACCTCAATATCCGAATTCTTCGTCGGGCCCAGCTATCAAGAGCTCGCAGCTCGCGCCGTCTTAACCAATGGTCACGTTCGGAAGTTCAACGACCTCTTGCACGACCAATTCTGGAATGCGTTAGAACCATGGAATCCGGAGGGCTCGTACGGAAGTCCAACGACCTCTTCCATGATTTGATTATTCAACGTGTTAGGCCTGTACGCGTCTCATTTTAACGTGTCTTCAACGTTCGGTACCTACGACGTGAATTTCAGATGCATCGATATCTTATCTCTCGCAATTCTAAGAAATTTCCTCCGCCACGGATATTGCCGAACAATCGTTCCTTTTTCTTTAATATCGGAAAGTCTGAAGGGTTGCAAGGAACTTGGTGTCATTTGCGACTCCCACGTGAAATCCTTTTCTAAAGTAACACGACACTCCTTCACGGGGTTTCAAATTTCTGAAAATCTTCCTTCTCGAGGAATCAAGATGGAAGGAAAGTATCAAGATCCTCGGTTTCGAGGTAACATAGACAACGTTCTAGCGAAGAAGTTTCGGTGACCGTTTAGTAGACCGAATTTTAGTAGGAAAGGTCCGGTCGTATATTGAACGGGGGATGAGGTGGTTCCTAAACTAGGGGGGAATGTCGTCGTGGCCGGTTTTGTTCGCCGGTATCGTCCGATTTTTACCGACAGCACACGAACATCTGCAAAGCTCGAACCGTGCGTTCTTTGACAGGGGAACCATACCGTACTTGGCAGACATTCGTTCCTATACTCTCTTCTGCGGCAAATATTTACCCCTGCGTCAGGTGATAGGAAGCAAGCAGCCTAGGTCTTCGCCGCTCCTCCGTCGATCGTTAAGGCGTCGTTAGGAAATTGAACCGGACAGAAGAGAAGCGTAGGTCTATTCGAAGCGCAAACATCGTATTTTTCGCTCGATTAAAAGCCGCCCTCGTTATATCCCGATGATGGTTCCCGGCATGTATTCCTCCTTTCTCCACCGTATTTATCGCGTGTGTCGCCGTTATTTTTATAGTCCGGCTGCCGCGATCCCGCGCCCTTTTCTCTCCACCGAGCGTAATTAATAAATTAAACC